TAGCTTGCAAGGAACAAAGCTGGAAGCTAAATTCAGATAAGTCTGTTTCCAAAGCTTTTGAGTTTTCTACTTTACCATGCATCTCAGCTAGCCTATACAATAAGAGATCTAGATTAATGATTCCGTTTATTGCTCCAGGACACCTTGATCCAATGTTTGTCTTTTTAATATATGAAGTAATTTTAATTTTTGACTTTAGCAAGACAATAATAGGACTTCTTGGAAATGACTAAAATTGCACTATGGTAAGACCCAACATAGTTCACTCACAACAGCTTCAAAATTAAGGTCTGCAGGAAAGTACAGAAATACATTCATATAACTAGCACGTGGTATTACTTGAAAATCCTTTCTAACTGAAGTTGCCGCCCTGAGCTGTGGCTACAGGCATGAGCGAAATACTGCCTTGATATGTTATAGCTCAGGACTTGGAATCCATTTGTGGGTTTTTGTTTTATTTTGTTTTCTGGTGTGTGTGTGTTTGTTTGTTTGCTTGTTTTCAGGGGGATTATGCTACAGGCATCTTCTTCCTCTCTCTGAGCTTTGTCTAACTAAAAAAAAAAGGCGGGAGGGGGAGTATTGCTATGAGCCTTTTGTACAGACAATTTCTTATGGTTTTGTCTTTCCAAGATCCTTTGCTTCCTTTGGAAAAGTATTTCTTACCACCTCCATTTGGTCCTATTAAGGCTAAGGTTTTTGCCATGAGGCACATGCGCTTGGTGAAGAGAGACAGAGACAAAGTGAGAAATCACCATACAAGGGGAGATGGCTATACCATATTCCTTTCTCCTCCAGTCTCCTCTTGGGATTTTGAGCATGTATGCACATGTGCCCAGCATGATTATCAACTATCAGGTCTTGGACTCAACTCATGGTGAGCCATGTGGGAGTCCATCACCACTACACCATCTGCTGGTCCCACAAATCTTCAAAATGTGCTCTGCCTTGATCCTGATGTATAGACACAACTTGAGCTGTGAAATACTGCTTTCCTTGACTAAAACTGAAGATATTCTTTTTTTTCTTTTTTTGGAGAGGTTTTTGCTATAGGCCGTGTGCACTCGCCAGACAGACAGAGAGAGACAGAGAGACAGAAAGCGAGAAATCACCCCCCAGGGGGTGAGTGCGGCCATGCTGCAATCCCTTCTCCTCCATTCTTCTCTCAGGATCTTGGGCACGCACGCACATGTGCCCAGAGTGAGTTCAAGCCACCAGGTCCAGGACTCGAAACATCATCAACTACATGGGAGTCCAGCAACTTAGCCATTACGCAAACTGCTGGTCCCAAAACTGAAGATTTTCTACTCAGACTTCTCCCTCCAGATTTATTTCGAGAGGCCTCTATGCACTGTTTAGACATGTCCAAGTGAACAGGATTCAAACATCTGAATATGATTAGGGTCAGAATATTCCCCTATCCCCACTGAATCTGATGTACAAAGAGTGAAAATGGAATGGAAGAGAGATTGCAGATCACCTCCATCTGCATGCATCTGAATGCTCAGATTGAATTTCAAGGATTAGGAAGAAACACACCAACCATCAGATGTCTAAAATTCACTGCAGGGTCACAAGAAATATGGGAAAGCAAGAAAATACCTCTCCTCCAAGGGAAAAGAATAATTCCTCTTTATCCTCAGACAGTACAATGAAACTCATGCAAATATAAGGTAAAGAAGAATATTCATAGTGACAAAGCTATCACACATGGAATAGAACTGCAGAAGAGGCAGGAGAAAGGAGCTGACGAGTTCCAGGAGATGAGGAAATTCTTGCAAGATCTAAAAGGGGAAATCAACACTATAAAAAAGAACCCAGTAGACCTGTTAAAGATGAAGGTATAATACAGGACATCAAAATCTCCCTTGAAAGTATTAAAAGCAAACTAGATCATACAGAAAATCGAATCTTAGACACAGAAGATAGAATTTCTGGCCTAGAAAAATCCAACACAAAGACTGAGAAAATTGTCCCCCAAATTGTGAACAATATACAAGAAGTAATAGATACCATCAAACATCCTAACATCCAGATATTGGTATCCTGGAAGGCAGAGACTCATAAGGGCATTGATAATCTAGTCCATGAAATCCTGGAAGAAAACTTTCCAAACCTATAGAGGCATTCAAAGATCCAGTCCCCAAGAAATACAAAGGACCCCAACTAGAATCAACCAAGACGATCATCTCCAAGAAACATTATAGCTAGATTGACCAAAACCACAAAGACAAGATTCTGAGATTGGCAAGAGAGAAATGTCAAGTTACCTACAAAAGATATCCCATCAGGCTAACAGCAGACCTCTCATCAGAAACAATGCGAGTGAGGAAAGAATGGGAAAATATATTCAAAGTATTAAGGGAAAAGTAATTTCAACCAAGAATATTAGATCTGGCACGATTATCCTTCATAGGGGAAGAAAAGACAAGCACATTCTCAGATAAACAAAACATGAAAGAATTTAGAAACACCAAAACAGAT